CAGCCTCTTTAGCGATGACCTTTTGTGTCTTGCCCTCCTTGTGCAAGTTGTCGATGGTCGTCTTTTGGACAACTGTCAAGTCAGCAGTCTTCCCCATGATTGYGTAGCCTATAGAACTAGACTGAAAGACCATTTAAAGGCCTTTCAGGAGATGAGTTCTCTGACTTTATGATTTTTGTAAGTTTTGTCTTTCAAAATATTCAACATTATTTACAAACAATTTCCCAGAGTACACAAACACTGATCTCTCTTCAATTCCTTCAAAACGTTGTTGTTTTTAAAATCTGCTGTGCAATATTTTTGGTGCTTGTTTAAGATTTTAGCTAATTTTCAAGACATTTAGCTTTTGGAACCCTTCTGCTACTTTCAGCTTTTTGCTATCATTTTGCTATTTTTACAGTTTATCTAGCTTCCTCTTTTATCTACTAATCTGCTCATTTTAGATTTTAGCTATACTGCTTTAGTTTATCTTTTTGCTACTTTCAGCTTATTTGTTTTTCTTCAGCTTTCAGACACTGTTTGGCTAGTTTAAGCTTTTATCTTTTAGCCAGAATTTTGATACTTTTTAAATATATTTTAGCTTACTTTTGGATTTAATTGGCATTTAGCTAGCATTTTGAAAGTTTTGCTACTGTTTTGTTACGTTTAGCTTTTCTGCTACATTCAGCTTCAAGCGATATCCATCCATTATCTATTCCCGCTTCTTCCTTTCAGGGGGTCTCTTGTGCCCATGGCAGTCACGGGGTGTACACAGATCACAAGTCCATCACAGGGTCACAGAGACAAACGAGACAGACTCTCTCACACCTGGGACAAATTTAGAGTCAGCAGTTAGCTAACAGTCATGTTTTTGGTCTGTGGGAGGAAGCCGAAGTTCCTGGAGAAAACCATGCATGGAGAGAACATGCAAATAGGTCCCAGGGCTTGGATTTGGTCTGCCAACCTTCTTGCTGAAAGGCAACAGCTTCACCAACAGAGCCACCATGCAGCCCTTTAAGCTATATTTTGGGCCAATAAACATTTGTAGATAATTCCTTTAGTTCCTTAATGCATTTTTCTATAAATACCTACTGTATGTTTTTTTTTTCTAATTAGTTTACATGTGGTTGTAACTGTATGTCCCAGGCTACAGCACATGGATTGGGATGATCTTTGCTGACCATTACCACAACAACCCTGTCATGGTGTGTTTCTGCCAGCTGCTGGTGTCCAATGTGCTGGAGAGGCGAAACACAACCACATACGCCTCATTTGACAATGCTCTGTCAGGTTAGAGCCACGTGTTTACTCCACAAATGGTCATTTACAAGTTTTCAGCTGTTGTGTATGTAAACTTTCTTCTTCTTCACCTTTAATTTTCCAGCATCCACTCTGAATAACCGAGCCAGGAGGCGCTGGGTGTTGAGTTACACATTAATGAAGAACCCTTCACTGATCCTGCTCAGAAAACACAACCTGAAACAATCGTCTACTCAGACCGAGACAACGGTCCGGGCTTGGGTCATGGCGTCACAAACACAGAGCCACCAGGCCACACCAGAAATCATCATCACAGAGTAGAGCCGCTGCTCCTCCACACATGAGCCAATCGAGGTGATTTGGACGCTACCTGGAGGCCAAGGTGTTCCATGTCCAAGTGGGAGGAGACCCCAGGGAAGACACAGGACACGCTGCTGAAACTATCAGCTTGGAGTCCTTCCAGAAGAGCTGGAAAAGATGGTTGTGGAAAGAGATATTTGGACCTCCCTGCTCAAGCTGCTGCTCCTGCGACTTGACTTCAGAACAAGCGCAAGATAATGGATATGGGCTCTCTCACTCACACTTTTGGACAATGTTTACATGCAATAAAATTAATTAACGAGTCTTAAAATCAATGACAAAGTGGTCAACTTACACAGCTAACCTTGTTTTTAATTATTACAATTTCTGGGTCAAATAAGGTCAGTGTATGTTTTGGTCATTGGATTTTCATTTTGGAAACGGGTATTAAAAAACAAGAAATGAGTGTTTATTTGATTTTTGGTTTAAACTATGGAAATTAAAAATTAAAATACAAAGTGTTTCTCATTCTTTGTGTCAAAAAGTGATGAACAAATTATTTTAAATGACTTCAGTTTCATGTTGTATGGAAGCCCATTTCCGCCACCCTGAAAAAATAAATAAAACTTGTATCTCATAATTATGACTTAGCTATCTCATAATTATGACTTAGCAACTCATAATTATGACTTACTATCTCATAATTATGACTTAGCTATCTCATAATTATGACTTACTATCTCATAATTATGAGATAGCTAAGTCATAATTATGTGATATATTCAGTCTGAAGCCGAGTTAAAGCAGTAGGCAAGTAAGCAGTAGGCTAACATGCTCTACCCAAATGAGCAGCAAAAACACGTTTTTAGACCAAATRTTACAGATTTGAACAAATACACACAAAAACATCAAAATTAGCACAGAAACAGTACTATATAACATTTTAGACACATTCTAGACAGTTTATCAGCTAAAAAAAGTTAGTTTTGGGGTAAGTTACTCATTAAAGCATGTTGACAAGAATAAGCGTGGACATGAGACAAATACCACTTTGTCACAATATGGTAATGTGTGGTCACACTAAATTTTTTATTAATTCAGCATGATGAGATCCGTATTTATTAATCCAACATGATAAAAATTAAAAAAGCAACAGATCTGAACAAACTTTAATTTGTGTAATCATTGACAGAACTGAATTAAAACTGAACTTGTTTAAGGAACTAAATCATTTTCAGTATTAAACACTGAGCCTGTTGTTGAACTCGGTTCTGATGGTTCTGATCTGGTCCACAAGCCCACATTGCTCCTGGAGAACTACCAGCCCTGGTTGGACCTGAAGGTTTTCTCCAAGGTGGATGGTAAATGGTAAATGGACTGCACTTATATAGCGCCTTTCTATCCATCAGGGACACTCAAAGTGATTTACACTGCAGACATTCACCCATGCACACACACATTCACACACTGATGATGGCAAACTACAATTGTAGCCACAGGGCCCTGGGGCGCACTGACAGAGGCGAGGCTGCCATACACAGGCGCCACCAGACCCTCTGACCACCAGAGGTAGGCAAGGCGGGTAAGGTGTCTTGCCCAAGGACACAACGACTGAGTCGACTGGACGGGGAYHGAACYGGCGACCTTCCGGTTCCAGGACGACTCCCCTAACCACTCTACCACACCCGCCCGGTGGACTCTTCAGTCACAGAGGTAGTCCAGCAGGATCAGTGTCAGTCTGTAAATGTCCACATGTGGTTCTGACCCATGTTTCCTGCAGGTGTTTGAGCTGGTTGTGGAGAAGTTCGTGTTTCCCTGGTACCAGTGAGAAGAATCCCGAGACTCAGGTTTTCCTTCAGACCTGGAGAGCGGTCTCTAACCTGTGTGTTCTCAGGGAGATCACGGACGACGAGGCGTGTTTGGATGAAGTCAGGACCTCGTTTTGTTTCTTTACCTCGGTGCTCTTCTGCCGAACGCAGAAGGTTAGTCCCTCCCTCCCTCAGGTTCAAACAGGCCTTTGCTTTGATCTTTTCTTTGATCTTTGCTTTGATCTCAGCTGATGTCTCTGCTCCGACCTGTTGGACAGGTGGACCTCACAGCTGTGTTTGCAGACAAAGTGATGAAGACGGTGATGAAGCACGTTGAAATTATTTCGAAAGCTCGAACTAAAGGTAGGACCGCCTCCAGGAGGACGTGATGAGAACAAACCTCAGAATACATCAAGTTTCCAACAGACGTTTGTCTTTCAGCTTCAGTCAAGGTCGGGGACAGTTTGGAGCAGGCGAGTCTGCAGGAGTACGGCTCAGACCTTCATGTGGCCCTGCAGAGCTGCAGAGATGAGCTGCTCTACCTGAGAACCCTGACAGACCTGCTGTTCCCCCACCTCCTACCCCCTAAAGCTACCGACTGTGGGTACCCATCTGAGCCAGTCCTGGTTCTGGTCCAGGTCTCTGACTCTATGTCTCTGGTCCAGATCACTGACTCTGTTATGTCTCTGGCCCAGGTCACTGACTCTGTTCTGTCTCTGGTCCAGGTCTCTGGCACTGCTTGTTATTCTGGCCAATACCAACCACTTATTATTGAAGACCTTCTGCACATACAGCAACAGCAAACCTTGGTTCACAATCAAACTCAGAGGACTTCGGCAATCCAAGACTGAAGCTTACAGAAGTAGGAACAGGGCCGTGTTCAATAAGACCAGGAAAATACTGAGGAGAAAAAAAAACTACTGTGAGAAGCTGAAAAACAGGTTTTCAGCAAAAGATCCTGCATCAGTGTGGAGAGGTCTCGCTGACATCACCGACTACAGGATCTCACCCCAACCCCCTGCAGCTAACAAAGGCCTGGCAGATAACCTTAACGACTTCTTTTGTCGGTTTGAGGGGGAGATCTCCTAACTTCTGCAACTCTACATCTTCCCCCATCAAACCACTGACTGCACCCCCACCTTTGGTCACCCAGACTGATCCATGACGAGGAGGTGAGTCGTCTTTTCCAAAGACAGAAGACCAGGAAAGCACCAGGTCCTGATGGTGTTTACCCCTCCTGCCTCAAAGCCTGCACAGACCAACTTGCCCAAATCTTCACCACGATCTTCAATAAGTCACTAGAGGTGTCAGAGGTTCCCTCCTGCCTGAAACGCTCCACAATCATTCCCATTCCAAAGAAGCCCACCATCAAAGAAATGACTACAGACCTGTGGCTCTGACATCTGTGGTGATGAAAACCTTTGAAAGTTTGGTGTTGGTGCACCTGAAGGAGGTTACAGGAGGCCTATTGGATCCCCTGCAATTTGCCTACAGGGCAAACAGGTCAGTGGATGATGCAGTCAACATGGGACTGCACTACGTCCTGCCACATCTTGATCACCTGAGGACTTATGCAAGGATCCCGTTCATAGATTTCAGCTCAAACTCTCCAAACTTACTGTACCTCCTGCCATCTGTCAGTGGATCACCAGCTTTCTGACGGGCAGGGAACAGCAAGTGAGGCTGGGGGAGGTAACCTCCAGTGTCCGCACAGTCAGCACAGGAGCCCCTAAAGGATGGGTCTGCAGTCATTGAATCTGTCCTGTGCACATCCATCACAGTCTGGTTAGGAGCGGCCACCCAGCAGGCCAAAAACAGACTGTAACAAACAATCAGGACAGCTGAGAGAGTCTTTGATGCTCCCCCTGAACACACTTCAGGACCTGTACGCCTCAAGAACCAGGAAACGGGCAGAGAAAATTATGACAGACTCCAAATCCAGGACACAGTCTTTCAAATTCTCCCCACTGGCAGGCGCCATTGGGCCCAAAAACAACCAGACACAAAAACAGCTTCTTCCCACAAGCCATCTCCCTGATGAACAGTTTTGAACATTAGACCTGCAACTAATGCCTTACCTCTCTTTTACCATACATGCACCCTATGCACACTCACTGTAAATACAATGCATATGTTATATGTATATAATCTACATATAGTGTTTGTCTTGGCTTTGTAGAAATCATTGTTCTTCCGCTACTGTATATATTTTATATGTATATGTGTATTGGAGAGACATCAACAGCTGGAAACAAATTCCTTGTGTGTGTCAACATACTTGGCCAATAAAGCTGATTCTGAGTCTGATTTGCTACATGGGATTAATATTAGAACTGGGAAAATCTATACTTTTGATTGCAGTTTAAACAAAAACACAAGTTTGTTCTGATGCAAGCTAAAGAAACAATTTAGGTCGAAGTCCGAGTTTATTTTTATGCGTTTTCATTATCAATCAATCAATCAATCAATCTTTATTCCAGACACAAAAAAGGTCCATAGTAGAAAAAAAGGTAAAAACAAAATAAGAGAAAGAATAAAAATAAACATGATATATTCACTGAGTCACAAATAAATGATGATGCCAATGTTTCCACAATCTTGAGAAAAATCTCACTGTACTAAAAACAGGATTTACTAAAATTGCAATTACATTATTGCATGACACAGATAACCTGGACATGCATTTGGTTCCTGAGCACAGCTGCGCATGTGGGGACAGCATTATGTACAAACATGTGGCTAGCACTGCTCCATCTAGGCACTCTGAGTAGTAGCCTCATGCCATCATTGTATGCCACATAAAGTTTCTGCAGGCTACTTTTTTTGTATCTTCGCCACAGATGGGCCGTGTAAAGTGAAGTGCAAAAAGCTTTAAAAAGAGCTATCTTCACAGAGGATGAGCACATACCAAACTTTCTGATCAGAATATTAGCCTGTGCATACATCATACAATACTGTCTACAGATGTCACGATGATGTCATTATTTCTGGGCTACTTCAAAATCTCTTTTTAACTACTATGTAACTTCAGCATAAAAATTTCCGACAGCACTTAAAGGCAGCATGGTTTGCATCTGTAGTTTTACGTCGTTACTTTTTTTAAAAAACACGATTGATTTAAAAACAAAACAGAAAAATATATGCAAAATATTATATATATATATAAATATTTGTTATTTATGTGTGTGAGAATTCGACGAAGAAAATTCGCAATAAACGAGCCTGTAGTTGGCTGAAAAGAAGGAAGTGGGCGGGTCCCGCCGCCATTTTTCCACATTTAGAGCGTAAAGTTTGACGGAGTTTGTAGAGAGAAGAACGCGCGACACTTTGAACAGGTACTTTTCTCATTGCAAAAACAATTTCATGTACTAATTTTGGTACTGACTTTTATATAGTGTCGGGTAAAAAAAAAAGCTTTTTTGGCTTATGAAATATTACCACTGGTCTTAAAGCAGCGAGGTATCGTTTGCTTTAATGACCGACAAGATGGTGAATTAACTTTAGCTAGCAACAAGCTAAACCACGATGTATCTCCTCCACCCGGTGGTACTTTATCAATTTTAGTCCAGTTCTGTTTCAATTTGGCGTTTTCAATGAGTCACACATTGCTGCCGTCAAAGCTAACTCTTATTTAGTCTTAAATAAATAGATGCAGTTGTTTGTTCGTACTATCAATGAAGGTGAAAAAAATGTGGTTTTTAGGGATGATGTACCACAAGTTAAATCACAGTGATCTCCTCTAAACGAATTAAACACGGAAGACAGACTTAAAATGTTAAGGTGATGTTAATTAATCTGTCTTCAGGCGTACTGACAGTCTTTCAAAGAAAAAAAAATTGGATTATGGCTGGKTAAGCTAAAAATCTCTTTTGTGGTAATTTTGTTGTAAATATACGTAAACATTAAAGTAGCCTGGTTAAAACCAGCCCTTGTTCTATGCTTTGCTTTGCCCAGAGCTGTGAGGAAGGCTAGGTCCAGGCTAATATTAAACTAAAGTTGCTAAACATAGCTTTCCAAAAACAAATAAATGGTTTATTTTCTTCTAAGTTGTCAATATGGGTTTATTCTCAAATTAAGAGGTTTTATGCTTGAAAATATTGATTCATTTTAAGGATTTAAGTGACTTAATACAGAACATTCTCACAGAGCTAACTGTGGCCCAGCTCTGGCCCACACAATAAACTAACACTTGGTGCAGGCACAGCAAAGATTGACTGGCCTTTGGTTACCCAGGTGTGGTTTGCCAGAGGGTGGTCCATGCATAGGCCAGCACTACATAAACCAAACCACCAACCGGACCATTGATGATATTGACAGATTTGGGACACAGAAACGGTGTTATAATTTCCAGATCTGGCCCACATCGGGTTGACAAACTACTTGCCGTGCCAGCAGTGCCAGCTTGACACTAGAGCTGGCCCACACCTGTAGATTTCTCTGGAAATGTTTGGACAGTGGGCGCGGGACTAAACTAGAATGTCAAACACTAATAAAACTTTAAAAGACCTGCAGAAGGCTGGTTGTGATCGCTTTAAAATCACAAAGTCTGGAAGCATAAATATATAGAGAATTGAGAGATGAGTCAAGACTTTTGTGTGATATTACAGAAATGCTTTTAAGTGAGTTTCAATGTTTTTTTCTCCCAAATTCATTATTTTTATTGCAGAATAATTTAAATTATTCAAACTTAATCATTGACTTTGTATATTAAAAATATCAAATACTGAGTTTTAGCATATAATTCTGTAAGCTTATTGATTTGATTTATTGATTAGAATCAGTTTCCACCAAGGTGGTTACTAATCTTCCTGGATAATAACTTCACAGCAAGTTATTAAATCAAACCGTGACCTGAAGTCAGTCTTTCGTTTCTTTTGTCTGCTTTGTGAATGCAATAATACGTGCTTTTTATTTTAGAAAATAAAAAAGTGAATCTTTTGTCAACATTTACTTTGTGTCCTGATGCATCTCAGCAGTCCAGGTAAAAAATCGAAAAGAAAAAAAATTGTTTAGGTCTTCT